TGAAGAAGGAAAAGTTGGTTACTTGTTCCCATAATATACGAACTAGGGGCCACCAAATGAAATTAAGAGGTAGCAGGTTTAAAACAAACAAAAGTTTCATGCAACACACAGTTGGCCTGTGGAACTCCTCGCCACAGGATGTTGTGAAGCCCAGGCCAGGACTTTAATAGGGTTCAAAAAAGAACTAGATAAATGCATGGAGGACGGGTCCATCAATGACTATGAGTCAGGATGGGTAGGAATGGTGGCCCTAGCCTCTGTTTGCCAGAGGCTGGGAATGGGCGACAGGGGAGGGATCCCGTGATGATCCCCTGTTCTGTTCACTTCCTCTGGGGCACCCGGCATTGGCCGCTGTCAGAGGACAGGACACGGGGCTAGCTGGACCTTTGGCCTGACCCAGCGTGGCCGTTCTGTTCTTAAGACATCAGAGCTCCATTTGGAGAAATTTGCAAGATCCAACCGCTGAGCTGCCTGAGGTTTGCCTGTCGCTGGTCTTAATGCTCAGACAGATACTTATGTGGATTGCGCATTGCTCTGTTCCCATGTCTGTTTATGCAGCATGGCAAAGTAAAGCCAAGCGGAGAGGGTGACACACATACAAGGATAATGCATCTGCATCAGGCAGACAATAGGGCAGACACAGATGGGATACTAGCGGTGTCTAAAGAGCGCTCAGCAGCACTAGCACTTGAGCGGAAGGGAGCCGTGCTGTAGCAGCACTCTTAATGGATCTTTTATCCTCTGTACCCAGTTGGGAAAGCGTCAGGGATTATTCATTCCTGCAAATCCAGACGGTGACAATTGGCTGGCTGGGTTTTGTGCCCATGCTGAATGTATCCTGAATTCCGCAGCTAGTCCCCCCTCCCAGCCCCCCACTGCAACCCCACGCCTTTGGGAGGAAGCTGATGTGCTGCCTCTCACCTTCCATTGAGAGTCTCAAAGCGTTGGGCAGAGATTAATGAATTACGCCAATTAATGGTCCCGGGATGTAGCTGATGTTCAGCTCCTCAGCAGTTCCCAGGCCTGGGTCAATGTCGTACAAGGTTGCATTGGGTGCAGGGCTGAATTCTGACGGGGGGTACCTGAGCCCCGCTGGACAGGACAGGAAGGTGATGGCTTGGCTAGGCCAGGACTTAGCACAGTCCCCTCATCTGTCATAGGTGTCCCATAGGTAAGTCCCGCAGGTGCCTCTACACGGCATTGTGAGCCTGCAGGTGGCCTGTGGACTCAGTGAAACCTGCCCTGTGCTTGAGCATCCTCCCTGCATTGCAAGCCTGGGCCTATGGCCGCCACCCCTGAGTTTCACAGCTCTGCTGACGCGCCTGTACCTGCCCCGCGCAGACCTTCTGACTTGACATGCATCCACATTGCCCAGTGCCAGGGGGACCGACTGGCTAAGTAGCAGTTCTGCAGAAAAGGACCTGGGGATTCCAGTGGATGAGAAGCTGGATATGAGGCAACAGTGCGTCCTGGTAGCCAAGAAGGCGAATGGCGTATTAGGGTGCATTACGAGGAGCATTGCCAGCAGATCCAGAGAAGTGATTGGTCCCCTTTATTGGGCTCTGGTGAGGCCACATCTGGAGTATTGTGTCCAGTTCTGGGGCCCCCACTATAGAAAGGATGTGGACGTATTGGAGAGGGTCCAGAGGAGAGCAACCAAAATTATGAGGGGGCTGGAGCACATGACCTATGAGGAGAGGCTGAGGGATTTGGGTTTATTTAGTCTGCAGAAGAGAAGAGTGAGGGGGGATTTGAGAGCAGCCTGCAACTTCCTGAAGGGGGGTTCCAAAGAGGATGGAGAGAGGCTGTTCTCAGTGGTGGCAGATGGCAGAACAAGGAGCAATGGGCTCATGTTGCAGGGGGGGGAGGTCTAGGTTGGATATTAGGAAAAACTATTTCCCTAGGAGGGTGGGGAAGTGCTGGGACAGGTTCCCTGGGGAGGGGGTGGAATCTCCATCCCTAGAGGTTTAAGTCCCGGCTTGACAAAGCCCTGGCTGGGATGACTGAGTTGGGGTTGGTCCTGCTTTGGGCAGGGGGCTGGACTCCATGACTCCTGAGGTCTCTTCCAGCCCTGGGATTCTATGATTCTGTGTTTCTAAGCCTGAGCCACATGCACACGGGCAGGGCCGGCCCGAGCCATTCGTGCGCCCCAGGTCCCAGGAGTGCAGTGCCGCCCCCGGGAGTGCGACGTATGCACGGCCCCGCCCCCGGGCGCACGGTGTCCCCCGCCCCTGGGTGCCCAGCACATGCGCAGCCCTGCCCCGCCCTGGGCACGTGGCACATGCGTGGCCCAACCCCCAGGTGCCGCCACCCTGGGAGTGCAGAGCATGCACAGTGCCACCCCTGCCTAGCCCAGCAGCCCCGCATGGTGCCCCCTACAATGGGGCACTGCGGGATGTATCCCGGTCAGCCCGTAGCTTGGGCCGACTCTGCAGATGTGAGCTGCGACCCGCACCTCCAGCAGGATCCTAGGACTCTGGCAGTCCGGAGTCAGACTGATTTAAGTGTGGCCAGGAAGGGGCTTCAGGTGCCGACCTGCAGCGTCGACAGACCCTCCGGGCATCGCTGCTCAGTAGCCGGAAGGTTACGCCCCAGGGTGGCTATTTCTTTTTGCCATAACACCTAAAAAGAGCCATGTGACCACAGCAGCCCTAGCTAGCTGGCCGGGCCCATGCCCAGAGAGCAAGACGGGCAACTTGCCCGAGCTCCAGACATCCTGCTCTTTCTAGTGTCACGTACGTGTGTCTACCCACTCTGGGAATGACATCTCCCCTCTGCTGCGCAGACATTGCCTGAGCTTCCGTGCCTCAGTTTTCCACCCACAAAGCAGAGCCGGTTGGACGGCTCGTGAGGATAAATGCACTGAAGATTGTCAGATGCTCTGGCAAAAGGGGCCAGGTAAGCACCTTTGATCTCTGCTTCCCTCTAAGCGATCAGAGATAAATTGCAGTGTTCGCCGGCCTTCTCATTTCATGACCTACAGACCCCCTGTTCCACTAAAGAACTATCTGGCTCTAATGAAAAAGACCCCTCGGCGTGCTGGGCCGTAACAGCGAGTGAGTTAGGATGCTGGCATGAGAGCTGGTTCCATCTGTGGGATCGCTGAATGAATCCCTTCCCTGCAAGAGAGCTGCTGAACTGCTGCTGCAAATGGACACAAAGAAGCTGCCTCATATCGCAGTGACCCTCAGATCAAGACCTAATGAGATAAATGCACAAGTGATGTCAGGGCAAAGGGGTCGTCAGGTGTCTAACTCCCAGAGTAGGTGCCTAAATACCTTCAGTGCTTCTGTGTCCCCCGAAGAGATGAGCGCAGCAAGGGAAGGGGACTTGCCACGTGGTGAGTTGCTTGCAGGGGCAGAAAAAGAACCCCAGTGCCACGCGCTAACCACTAGATGCCACTCCCTTGAGCACCATGTGAAAGACCCATCCATGGGCTCCCCCAATGGCAGGCTGAGAACTTGCACAGATGGCGCCTTCCGAGGACGTGCTCAGAGCAGCTTATCCAGAGAGAGGCTCTTCCCGTTGCCTTCTCTTCTCCTTTCCTCTTCGCTGCTACCAGAGCCCTCAACCAGGGGGCCTCAGTCCAGCTGCCTGGTCCCTGGAACAACTTCGAGCCGCCCTCCTCTCCCGGCTAAGGGGGTCATGTCCCCCCCTGCCAGAGCCGCGGGTGCCGAGGCCGCCGGGGTTCTGCTGTAGCTGCGCTCTGGGCCAAAGAGGCGCGAGGGGCAGGCGGTATTAAAGGACGTGAAAAATGTGTTGCCACGGAGACAGATGAGAGGCCGCTCCTTGGAGAGCCAGCCGGCAAGACAGAGAGAGGTAGCTGTGAGGTCCGTGTGTGCACCCACACGCAGGTGTGTTTACACTCCACACACACAGTTACACACTAGTGCAAACAGAGCCCCAGGAAGTCACGCAGAGGTGTGCACGGAGGTCCGTGTTTGCACGCACATGTGCCTGCCTTTGTGAGTGTGCACGCACACGCCCTGCCCTGACACAAGGCTAACCCCGAAGCCAGCACGCACACAGAGATTCATTCCCCCGGTTCACACACTCGGCACTGTGTGCTGCACATTTGCTGGCTATTGTAGACATTTACTGGGTCAAGCGGCATTTTGCAGATTGCTGCTGTGCTGTGGTGAAGCAGGGACGGAATATATTATTTCACCCCCTTACGGTTACGCTTTTGCTTTTGATTAATATCAAAATATGTCCCTGGTGCAGCCAATTTAGCCTGGTCACCTAGGGAGAGGGATAAGATCTATCACTCCCAAGTATAACGGGAAATGTAAAAGAATAACAAACCTCCTCACACACATATACCCCCCCTCTCTCTCTCACACACACACACATGCGCACACACACACACACAAGCACCCATATGCAAACACTCACACACATGCATATACCCACTCTCTCACTCATGCACACAAGCACACACATGCATGCATGCACACATACACACACAGAAACACACACACATGTATGCGCACACACAAAAACACACACAAGCACATACATGCACGCACGCACACATACGCACACACACATAAACATAAACACACATGCACGCACGTATGAACACATACACACACCCAAACGCACACGTGCACGCACGCACACATACACACACACACACAAACACATGCACAAATTCATTCTGAGACTTCTTGAAGTACACAAAGGTCTAGGCCAGACCATGCATGGCCCCTGAGATCCTCACCACCATCCTCTCCAGTGGCCAGGAGCTCAGCTTTCAGATGGAAAGTCCAGTCGAAAAGGGCACCTGACGTTGTCCAGCCCGATCCACTGACCGGACACCCTATGCCTGGTTACTGTGGTTGCAGGAGGTGTGGAGATGCAGAGGGTAGGAGGCAGAGCCTTGGAGAGAAGGGATGGGGTAGGGCAGGCCTTGGGGGAAGAGGTAGGACTGGGGAGGTTCTGGAACTCTTGGTGCTGTGTCCATTTTTTAAATATTACCAAGTTGCCAACCCTATCACCATCCTCTTCCTCATCGTCATCATCAAGCATGTTTTTTACGGTAGCGCCTAAGTGACCGGCACAGTACAAACACATGGTGCTAGCAGGCAACACAGCCACAGCCTCTGTGAGTCCTAGGGCAGGAGGATGAGGCGGG